TACCCAGATCATAAAACATTTAAAATTTTCTGTGCATTTATATAATGTTTTAAACAATAATGGTGGAACATGTATATTTAAACTTTTTTAAATAAGCTTGAAAATAGATGACATGATCATTTTTTTAATTCATTCACCTCTCTCCTTTCTCACAGCTCAGCCTTCCTGTCGTCACAACTGTGGTTATGATATGGGAAGCTGCTCCTGCTCATCCTCATGTCAGTGGAATGGAAACTGCTGTTATGACTACTACTGTAAGTGAAAACTCTGCAGCATGCATTATTTTTGCCTCCATAATCAGAAATGTTTTGGTTGCAGTGGTTTCCACTGTGAAATAAATAAAAATAATCACTGTATCTTCTGATTCATGCAGCTATGTGTGGATGGTCCACTGATGTTCCCACGGCAACCACAGGTATAAGAGTTTTAAACAACCTTTTAATAAATAAATGTTATTCTTTTTGCATTTATTCATTTTACGTGGACCGATTGTGAACAAAATAAGATGAATGAAAATGATAATTAGGGGTCGAAGCAGCAATTAATTACTACTGGAACACATAACAGGTCAATTCTTTTTTGCAGCTAAAGCCCCTTCTGACCCATCTGGGATTCAGTCCAGGGGTCTCACAAATCAAAGACTTAGACTTTTTCTGATGCACCAAAGGGGAATGTAGATACAGACTGATGAAGGCAATTAAATACATACAGTTCTATTCTACTTATAAAACAATACAGTTGTAGGAGATATAATGGAAATGGGGTGCATGGTGTGCCCGGTTATGAAAGTGTGTGCATCACAGAAGTAAATATACAGGTGCGCACTCACTTGTCTCATTGATGAGAGAGTCAGTGTGGGGCTGTTGTAATTTTGTTTAACCGTGTCTTTTCACTTTGTTTCAGTATTCATTCATTTTCCATATATTAATCAACTGATCTGATATCGTTTGCTATATTCATCCCTGCTGCGCTGCCATAGCTTACGGTATGCTGGTGGTAATAAACCAAACAACAGCTTTCTAGAAGTCAGCATATCTGTTACAATAAATTTTAGGCGTGTCACAAATAGGACAACAAAGAG